AACTGAAACGTACCCTTTTCGGGACTCGGTCTCTAGATCTCGGTATCGGCTGCACCAATTTTATTCGGACTGGTCGCAATCGAAAGATACCGATGACATTATATAATAAAAGTGTTTTTAGATTTTTGATTGTGCTTTTAAATTCTGAGTAATTTTAATCTAAAGTTTCAAGATGCGAAAACTCGAGATAAAGCTAGTGGTAGCGTCGTGAATTTGACATCGACATGAACATATACACGCATCAAGTATCATGTCATCATGTCAAACGGTTATATTTTTATTTTATGCACTTGGCGTCGCGACGCTACCGCGTCGCTTGATATAATATAAAAGCTGCATAGCATGAGAGACAATATTTATATTATGATATTTTCATCAGGTTTCATGGATGAAATTTAAAATGCCATCAATTGCCAATAAGTATTCTATATCAGAATGCATGAGTATTACAATGAACAATCGAAGAAAATGGATGATGGAAAATGCTGTTTCAATAGATGAAATATTAGATGAGTTTCCTCGATTAGGCGATTTTTCTGGCGAAATGGTAAATAATAATGCCTTAATTTTACAGCTTTTTTTTTATATTGAAGAAAATATATTTAAACCTCTCTACGAAATTTTTCTTTGTGTTCTACACTTATTGTTAACGGGTTACATCTGACTGCCAACATTACCAGTTGATCAATTTGATATAAATCTAATTGATTAGTCGAGTCGAAAAAGTTTAATCGCTATGAATGATTGTGGTTAATCACAATGTGGTCAAAGGGAACGCTTCTACTGCTAACTAAATATAATATTAAGAGAAAATCCTATATTTCTATAAAAATATGCACAAAGGTTCAACTAAATATATTTCTTCTTTTCTATAATTGTATATTATGAATATTTTTTGTGTTTCAAGAATATATCTGATGAAAATTTATTACTAAATATATTTGATCCACATATTTTTGTAGATTGATGAAGAATTTGAGAGACTACACAAAGGGGCCTCTGATAGATTCTTAGCAAGATTTGTTTCGTTTTATGTACCAAGAATCCTTATATATTGCAGTACAGCAAGACCAGAGTTATTTAGAAAATCAGCTTTTATTAAAGATGGTAAAATTTCATTGCAATTGGCGAAAAAAATTCTGTTTCCTTATCTTTAACTTCATAATTATTATAATAATAGATGTTAGACATTAAAATATTAAATTATTATGTTTGTTTAGATGCTCTTCGTGCCTTAACTCTTTTGGCAGATTTACTTCCTGTATCAAATGCTGTAAGAGAGGGAAAAAGAAAAAGAAAAGGAACAAGCATGGAAAACTTATCAAAAGGAGTAAATATTTTATATCTCTTATTTTTGTAATTTGGCAAGCATAAATTGATGTGTAACTGTTAAAACATTATTTAAATATTTATATATTTTATTTTAGAAAAATATTGATTGGGAGAACATGAAATTTACCCTGCAACATTTCCAAATCCTTCTTTACTACGAATATGGCCTGTAAGTTTGGTTTATTCATTTAAATTTATATCTTTATATATTTATTTGCTAACAGTAAGAACTTTTTTTCAGGAAGGAACAAACATAGAAGCACAAGCTAAGAAGATTAGAAGTGAAGCCAATGCGGTCCTATCCAATCCTATATTATTTTAATGAAGGGACAGCTTGAACAGTATTTCATTCAGGCTGACAATCATACTTTTACTTTGAATAATAACTCATCTATCATAGCACTTGATTTGTTATTTAAAACATATTATGTTTTTGACGTGAAGTGTCCAGACACACTAATTTATTTTTTCAATTTTTTAGAAAACTATTGTTTTAAAATATCAAACAACATACAACATGGTTTCGTATCTTCTACTCATATTAATATTTCTAATATTACGTTAGATAATGTTGCATAACATTTACAATCTTATGTTAAATTAAGATGCAACATGCGGTTTCATATCTTCGACATATTAATATTTTTAATATCATAATACATTGAATAATATTGCACATCATTTACATTCTTACGGTTAATTTTTTAAATTTATTCCTCTGACAAGTTTTTACTTCTCAATATATTTAAACTATTGATGTAAAATGAATCCGTTTTTCTTTTTTATAATTATTTTCTAAAAATTTTATTTTATAACAAATCAGATACATGTTTTGTTATCCCAAAGACATTCTGCAGAACGTTTTAAAGATATTGCAATATCCCTAGAACGTTCTGCACCTACCTGGGATATCTGTGCTATACGGGTACTCTTATTGTATTTATTATAAGTAACCAAATAAATAAAGTAACCAAATAAATTTAACATATGTAGCATTTATTTGGTTACTTTCAAATTATTTTTTAATATGTAAAATTTTTATAAATATAGAGGAGAGGCCCCTATTATGAGATACCGAGTTCATTTTGTGTAATTACTAAATGTTTATTGGTAGAATTAAAAAAAATAATAGGTCATTTTGAAGAGAATTTAATAAGCTTTAAGATAGTGTTATGTAAAATTTAATTCAAATTTTATTTTATTTTTTAATTAAAGAAATGTAAAAGGTGAACAAATCGCAAAGTCGAAAAATTGTGCTCCTAGTATGAGATATCCCGAGAAATCGATAATAAAGCACAAAGTACATCAGTATTAGAATTAAAAAAACTTTATTTGATGTTTCTAACATATCAACGAGTACAGCCTATGCGCGTAAATTGAGCATGTGAGGCATTGTATTCAGGATTTGTCTACAGTAATAATTGGAATGAAGTATTACAGAAACAGACCCTCAATGTTCATTCCGGTTATTCTTTTTATTATTGTACAATAACATTTATACTTTAAACATCGATTTTCACTTGGGCACAGAAGTATAAATTATTTCATATTAGAAATATCCTGGGTATCTCATATTACGAGTATCACGTCTTACAATTTTACGATTATCAAATCTAACTTCTTTAATTAAACAATTCAACATATTTCGTATTTTTCTATCAGTACGATCTTACTCTATTACTACATGAAGAATTTATTGCCAAATAATTACTTATTAAATAATAAACAAAGATTAAAGGCTTATCTCAATGAAACTTGAAAACATTCAAACTCTAAAATTTTATTTTACAATTACTGTAGGCATAATCTAACAATGAATTTTCCACTAAATAGTTTTCAATCCAAGAGCAATAATTTCATAATAGAATCAACAGATAACATTTATTAGTTTAGCAGAAACACCGCTATCTCATGTTAAGCGCCTATCTCATAATAGGGGGCTTTCCTCTACATATAAATTATATGAAATTAATATTAATTTTAATATCAATTTACCATTTTTTTCTTTTCTTTGCACAGCATAATTTTCAGCATATATCAACCAACAATAATAGTACATAATCATAATGTTATAACTTATATTCAAGAATGAAACTATGACATGTTGTATATGTTATAATAGTTAAATTGTTGAATAAAAAATTATAATATTAAGATTACTTCTATTAATTGATGTTTGCTGAAATATTTATTGAATTCAACAGTTCACGTAACTGGTTTTGCAATTCAAAGTCACTGTTCTAATAGTGTTATTACATATAATATTTTATTTATTGAAATAGTCAATATTACTAATTCTTTTAGTTAAATTGTATTGGTTTACACTGTTACACTTACTGAATTAAATAGTTCACATAACTGGTTTTGCAGTAGACAGTCACTATTTTTAATAGTGTAATATTACTTTTCGAAATAGTCAATATTATCAGCTAATTCTTTCAGTGAAATTTTACTGATTTACAGTGCTATACTTATAACTCCTACCATCAGTGACTATATGTACTATTTTCCAGTGATAATACACTGATTCACTTTTAGAGAGTAGGTCATTTTTGTGTGTTAAACATCCTAAAAATATTTTAAGATATCCGCTGGATAAAGACAGGACGAAATTTGGTTATTCAGAAACATTCTAATAATATCTGAACGTTAATGTCCTATGAATGTAGAATAAGCGGACGTACGAACATCCTCAGCATATCCTAAATACCTTCTAAATTTATTCAGATACGTACTCAGGATGTTTGAAAATCCCTTGACATACATTCGTAAGATGTACCTAGGATCAATTTTTGCTATATGGGTTGGTGGCTCGGGATAAGAGACTTGTAGTGTCTTTCAATTTTTGAACATGGCCGAAGGCTCTACCGCGTCTCCTGATAAAGATAAAGTATAAGTACGTAAAAATAAAAATTTAGAAAAAATTTTATTCAAAAGATTAATTTAATTGATACTGTCGATTTTCCTACAAATTGCTACAATTGTTAAAAATACGTCACATTTGTCATTTTTTTTGTCACTTTTGCTGGAAGTGTAATAAAAAAATTCCTCATTTTTAAATTTTTCAACATTATAGGAGAGAAGCATGTCACAATTAACACGTTTTGTTAAATTATTAATATTTGTATAAAAAATTTTTTTAAATAAAAAAATTATTATGTAAAATGTTATTTAAAAAGCTACTTAGGAATATATGTAGCTATATGTAGCAATATGTGTATGTTTTCTGAGCCAGTATTATACATATACATATAGTACAATAAAACATTGAAAAGTGTTACTCAGTTCGCTTTAAAAATCTGAAACAATGTAAAGACAAAAATTTATCAAAAATAGTGGAAAGTGAAAACTTTATAAATATCTACAATCTATGAGTTGATAACTTTAGACTTTGAAAATGCAAAAACTATTAATATTTTATATTTATTAATACATTTTATGTCTCCAAGAAAAATATTTGTATCTGGTAAGCATAACTATAAGGCCTCTATCAGAGCAGCTAAGAATATCAATGAATGTGTATGATTAACAAAAAAAGTCAATAAAAAGCCAATAGTCATAGATCAATATTTATAGTCGATTCACATATTCGAAACGATCTTAAGATGTTAAAAAAAAAGAAAATTAATCGTAAATAAAAATTTATGCTTTACTACGTCATTTTTTATTAAATGAAAATTTTAATGGCGCGCGCGAAGCGCCATTAAATTTATGTAGTTATGTTATGCAGTTATGTTATGTATTATGCAGTTATGTTCTAGTAAATAATAAAAAGCGAGGAAAGTGTAAAGCCTAATCGAGTCTTGAAAACAAGATGTTAATGTTTATTATATTGTGTGAAATTTATATACTGCGTATGTAGTCCCCCCCGCGACGCTGATAGACTCCCGTAGTACAGCATTTGTCGAATTCCAACGCTTAACAATCATCTGATTGAAACAAAAAAAAATAAATAAAAATGCTGTTATGCCTCCAACCGTCATTGGAAGGGGTAACTACGGGAGATGCCTTTTGATCGGAGTGATGGAGACAATCAATTTGACGTTCGTGTTTTTTAATTGAGTAAATTCACGTTAGCTTGACTCGCTTCCTTGCGTATTATCATGAAGGTTAGATTGTGGTTCTTTGCGAATTAATATATATTTTTTTGTAATTTAATTTTGCTGAAGATGACTGGAATTCAGTCGAAACGTACGATATTGTAATTTTTAATTTTAATCTTTATATATATATTTTTTGGATAATTAAACATCTCCATATCAACGCATTGTCAACCGCGTAGACATTAATTTACTCTCACTCGCCCTTTTTAATATTTGATTATTTAATATATGATATATTTTAATAATATGTAAAAATTAATGACTGACGTATAAAAGAATATTTTTAAAATTTATGTCTTATGTATCCAATAGCCTATGTATTGTAAATTTAACGCCAGGAGATGCGATTTTATTTAACGTTTGCTGTGCAACGGCCTCGTTCGTCTATTCAGTTTGTCGTTTTCTATACATTTGACGTTTTACGTCGCTTTCAACCGACCTCTGCTTCGCATAAGTTTTACATAATCATTCGAATAATAACCTTCAGAGACCACCCTCGTAAAAAAGTACTACTACCCAGGTAACAATTGGTGAGCGCTCATAATTACTCTCACGGCATGATTGTCATGAGTTCGTGCAATAACGCATCCATGTTACTCTCACTAAGTGAGAGAAGCACGAGTACGTGCGTAAAAGGTAGCATTATACAGTCATGTGTGAAGGAATATATTTACATAAAATTCACGTTATCTTCACGCATGATCATCATACGTGCGTGCAAAAACGCATTCATGTTGCGTTCATGCATGCAGTAATAAAAATCGCGCGCTTTCCGCCATCTTATCATACGCCGAGCTGATTATCATTGAATTATTTTGTTAAAATAACAAAATACAATTTTTTTGTTAAATGAACAAAATATTGTAAATTTTTTTATTTAACGATACAAATTTATTTGCTTACTTACTTTTTGTAAATAACAAGGTAAAATTTTGTTGCCATTACAAAATAAGTGTTCTTTTAGTAATTTTAACAAAATAATCTGTTTGGGTAGATAAAATAGTTTTATTAAAAGTATATATAGAACATTCGAAACATCTCTGTCAATAAGGTAACAGTGGAGCAGTACGTTAAGTGAACGACTCAGAACTGGACCGTGGATCGAGTCACAAGTTCAAATCCTATCAGACTTAAAAGTTTTTTCCTAGGTATTATTAGTCAGTTCAGGACTTAAGGGGAGGACACAAATGATGGAGAAAGAAATCTAATTTTTTTTTTTG